TATGCAATTGTTGATAATACCTGGCAGTCCTGGCAGGTTTCGCTTCTTCTTAGTTGCAGGTTTTGGCGGCACTGTCTGATTGCCGGAGGAAGACACGCTAGCTTCCCCTGAAGCTGTGGAAACATTGTCCAAATCAACCGGCATGGGAACCTTCAACGATTTCTCAGCGGGAGAAAAAAAAAACAATTTTTAGGGCATTTACCCTCACGAAGCTTTGTATTGTTGATCTTTTTCTTATATGGTTTTCGCTTCTACTTTCTAGGGTTTCTACTAACACGCTCTCCCTTGCTTGCTATATCTACCGGTCAACCTGCAAAATTTGATTTTTTTAACGCTTCTTTTTCTCACTTACCCAATACCCACCACCTACCAGCTCTGTCTGATGATGGGGTCTCTGACCAAATTCACGTTAACCGAAGAAGAGGAATGATTGAAGCCAATAGGGCAGTGCCCTATAGTGAAGTTGGATCCGATACACAGCGCAGAAATTAAGGTTCTAGTGCAAGTGGCAGGAGCAGTACCCGAGCGGGAGAGAAAAGGTGGACGCGGAAGCAGAAGGTCCTCTTCTCGATCTCGTTTGGTTGTTCGGAAAGGTGTAAACTTTTTTTATCAGAAAATGAGGTGATAAATGGGAAAGTCGCATGGCAATAAAAATTAGGAAATGTTAAGTTTGATTAATTAGTAGTAATGAGGTGATGTCAGACTTGGGTTTTGGGCTGGGTCGTATGTGCGTGGAGATAGATTAGTAGAATACTGCTAGTACAGTGTACAAGTACAATATAAGACGAGAGAGAGAGAGATTAAAAAAGGTTGTATTTATTGTGTTTTGGGAGTGAAACTTCTTTGGCGTTGAAGTTCCTAATTCCTATCTATTCTCAACTTAACTTGATGAGGCCAATGGATCAATTTGCAAAGGGAGCACAGTGGAACGAGGGTTTACTCCGATGTTTGTCGTTTTGTGACTTGTTTGAATGCGAATCCTGTAAGAACCGACAGTGATAGGTCATTCAGAGTTTTGGGGAAACAATAAATAAACCACTTCTTTTAAAACATATATTGAGTAAAAGATTTATTAAAATTATATAGCTATTAAGTGTGTTGAAAATGAGTAGAAGTATTATGGAACACTCTTGCCATATGTTTGCAATAAATTAATTCTCTCGTTTTCGGCCCTTCTTTTTTTAGAAAAAAGGTTAATAAGTTGTTCTTTGTGTTCTCAATTTCTCATTTATAAGGAAAAAAATTGATTCTATACATAGCAAATCAATTTAGTGTATTAAATTTTATTAATTTTATAATACTTTTTAAAATTGTTCTTGTTAATTGTATTGAAATGGATTTGTTAAAAAGTCAAATTTTAATTAAAAATATATATTTTTATGAAATTAAATAAATTAAAGGAATGAAAATTTGGATGGGGTAATTCAACCATTTTTTTTAAAGTTCAACATATGGACAACTTTTAAAGTTTAATGATGTGTCTAAAAATTTTATTAGACGAAAAATTTGAAAGTCATTATTGTAGAAAAATTCGAGTGTTTTTTTTTGTCAAATTCATCATAATGTTCTCTTAATCAATGAAAATAGACAATACTTTCATCTCTTATCAAATGACTTGTGTCTGAAATGTTCATCACAAGTTGAGACAACGATGGATGTTTTGAGGGATCCTCCTCATGCCTAAAAAAATTGGATGAAGGTTGGTGTTGATACAAAAGTGGTCATTTCTTGTTCTTTTGTTAAGGATTGTGTGAACCTCATACAAATGAATATAGATGTTATCCTCGTTATAATAGTGTGTTAGTATAGATGTTATTTTCGTTATAGTAGTGTTTTGGTGGGCTTGATACCAGCATTTGCATAATGTGTTTAGCTAGGCTCGGTCTAATAAATTTTTAGACCTAAAATAAATTTTAAAATAGGGCATTTTTTAAATTAATAATAATATATTTTGATAAAAATAAATAAATATATTTTAATAAAAAAAATTATTGAAAGTTTATCTTTAGAGCTTTGGTTATGTAAAATTGTTTATTAAATTACCAACTTTGTCACATTTTTAAACTCTTCCTCTCCTTTTACTAATTTCACTAACTACTAATTTGACAATTTCATGTACTGGGTAACTAAGAAGGTGAAAACAATTAAAATTGATAGAAATAATAACAATTAAAATGGAGAAAGAAATTAATTAAAAATTGTATAAAAATAGTATTAAAAAATAAATAAATAAATAAAAAGTAATAGAAGAAAAACATAATTTAGTTGTTGGAGTAATCGAGTAGGTATTGAGAATAATATCACAATTAGGTGTTTCAAACACTGTAAAATAAGAAACATTAAAAAAAAAAATATCCTTTTAGTGAGTGTTACAAATAGTCAAACACCACAAAATAAGAAAAAGTGAAAGACAACAATCAACCATAAAAAGAAAAGAAAAAGATATGTAACCTTGGGTTGGATAATTTATGCCTTTTGAAAAAATGATGAACTTGAACAACAAAATAATTGGATTTTGAAGGAGTCAAACATAAAGTTATGGGGTCTTAAAAAATTTTAAGGGGGCCCAAAGTAAGGGTTTTAATGGCTTCATGTGTGGGTCGACCCTATGTTTAGTAATCTTAGATGGAATATCTCATGTGTTTGTAGCATGGTTCGATCTAATTTTAAAGAATGTACTCATGGGGGCATTAATTTAGTATATATTAAATTCTTCCTCCATTGGCAATGTAACATTGTACAATTTTATTAGTTGTTATTTTTTAATAATTATGTGTTGTGGTGTGTGGGGGAAGTGTTGTTGAAAGACTCTGGGAGTTAAGGAAGTCCTAAGGAGTCTTTAGGTGTTTCATACGATTTCTTTGAGTAGAGGTCTAGTTTGACCCTAAGAAGTAGGTATATAAGGTTTCTTTTAAAATAAAGTTTCATAAGTGCGGTTCTTAAGAAATAATATTAGAAAGAGGAACTATGGTTCTCTAAGACTTCTTTATCATTTCTTAGCCTTCATAAAGCATAGATGATTTATTTATTCTTGAATTGAAGGTGTTGGAGAACTTGAAATCGTGTTGTGAGGAATGTAGTGTGGAGCTTTAAGTTGTTTAGAGCTCATTCATTCTCTTTTTTTTTCCTTTCTTTTCGATTCCAAGGTAAGAGAAATTATGATTGGATTCTTGTTGGATTTTGAATTGAATATTGTTTAAAATTCATTAAAATTGTGATTGTGTTGATGGTAGAAAGGTGATTAATTGTGTTGGGTTTTGGTGTTCTTGGTGTTTTTGGTGAAGAAAGAAAGATTTGATGATCTGGTTGGTGTATTATTGTTGCATATGTCATTTTCTTCAATTTTTGAGTTGTTTGTTGTTATAGTTGGAAGATTTCAAAGTTACATGAATGAATTATTGTATGGGATAAGAAAATTTGGAGTTGTTGTGTTGAATATTTGAAATGTTATTTTTGTTCTTGAAGGATGCATGTTTTAGGTATTCTCACTTAGAGTGGGAATTTCAGTTGCTCAAAGCGAGTAAGTGCGACCAAATTAGAGGTGCTCTTTGACTTGGTTCGCTCAACGAATTTGAATTTCTTAAAAGTGAAATTCGGTGGCTCAAAGCAATAACTTACTCGCTCAAAGCGAGGTGATATTGTGTTTCAGGGGTGGTCCCTGAATTTGCTTGCTTAGAGCAAATTATTGGGCGTTCTGAACAAAATTTTCTCGCTTAGAGTGAGGTTGGCTCGCTTTAAGAGATTGGACAAGACTTCGAGGGGTACTCTTTATTGGAATTCGCTTAGAGTTAGCTACTAGGTGCTCCGAGCGAGCTTTAGAGTGCTCAAAGCACTTGTTTCACCTTTTAACTTGTAATTTTCTCTACTTATCTCATTGGGTTGGTTGCTTACATGATGTGTGATGAAGGTTGAATATATTTCAATGTATATTGATGATACAATTAACATAGATAAGTTAGGTGGATCTATTATATGTGTGTATGTTGACTGGTGTTGTTTGTTTTATGTATATTGATCTAAGAGAATACATGTAGATGATTATAACTATTGATGAATTGTTGAGATGTGATGCTGAGAATGCTATAGGTATTTAGGAATGTTAATTGACTTAGGTCTATATGAGAGATTATTTTTTAAAGTTGGATATCTCATAGTGTGGATATTGTTGTGATGCTCTACAAGTCCAATTGTTGAAAAATCCTCTTTTAGTAGGTGTTATCTCATGGAATGGATGGTTCAGTCTCCTTTGTGACCTTAGTTAATATGGTATGTGGGTCGAGTTGAGGCATGTCGACTATAAGTAACCATAGTATATGGGTCAGGTCGAATTATATTGATTACAAATGGCCATTCTTGATCCGTATGAAGGCAAGATTGAAAATACATGTATAAAGTGAGCAATTGAGTAAAGTACAAGGTTGGGAAACCAATTCCTAATTGACTATCATAAGGGTGCAGTATTTGGAGGGTATTCAACTGACTAAAATTGTAGGGAGCATAGTGTTGCAAGCTAATATTGTGGTAAACTCATACTCAAATTGTTATACCCTGAAAATAATATTAAAATTCATAGTTTAGATGACAACATTCGAGAAATCACATTGATAGGGATTGGTATCCCACACTGGCTTTTGACTTAACAAGTGTAAAAAGGATTGTTGGTTCGATAAGGTTAAGTCACTTATATTATTCGTTCTATTGTAAAAGATATGCATAAGTAAATGTGTGATGCTGCATTAGTTGAAGTGTATGCATATGATGTATTGTGATTTTTTGCTGTTCATATGTTTTTTATTACATGGTTGAATGACGATGGTGTGGTGAAATATGACTTGTCATATGTTTTTGAATTTCTTACTCTTTTAAGGTGTTGAATGTCATGTTAAGGTGATTGGTTGTGGTGTTGAGTTGTAGATTATATTGCGAGTTGTTTTATGGTTTACATATTTGTGTTGTTAGTATAAATACTTTTACTTCTATACTCGATATATAATCATTCTTTTGTACTCCAACTTATCCTTGCATTTTTCTTGATGGTTGGATTGCAATGATTATGTTTACATGAGTGTAGGGCAAGGATAGGTTTGAGGACTTGACAGTTTTTGCGAGCCATGCTTAGTGGTGATGTAGTTGGAAGCTACTTTTGTATAGATGTGGTAAAAAATTTGACTGATAACCTATAATTTTCCTTACAGTTTTTGGATCACTATATATATATATATAATATATTTTATATATTATAATATATATTATTAATAATACATATTAAATTAATAATATAATACACACACACACACACATATATATATATATATATATATATATATATATTGTTATTGTGATTTTCATAAAATGTTTAAGTGTAAAACCTTAAGTAGTTGGATTCTTTCCACTACTTGTAGTTTATTTCGTTAAAAGTATGAATCCTGATGCATCGTTACAGGTAATACTCAATGTCTCATTTAGTAAAAGTCAACGTGGAAGGAAGTTATGTGAAACTATTAGCTATTAAAGAGGGTCTTCGAAGAGCTTAATAGATCAGTGTGCGCCGTCTTATTTATAAAACAAATTGTAGACAAGTAGTGCATACTATCTTACATGGCATTATCAACTTCACATGAGTGCACTTGAACTTCTAGGTGATGTTTGATTTTCTTATCCTACTTCAACATGATTAGTTGGTGGATTTGCATGTCATTCTAAGCAAAGTGAATATAGTTACTCTCACTTTGACGAGTTACGGTTCTTCTTGCACTTCTTTCTGAGATTCATGGTCTATTACTCTAGTTAGGGTTCTTACTTTATTAAAATTAAACC